GATTAGTTACCGTTAGCAAAGGGGGTCAGTGCTGGAAATAATCAAGGATTGCAGCTTGCGGAGGACAGAAAGTCAATTTGTCTTGCTTGGAATAAAGTGTCTTTGTCAGAACAAGGAATCGAAGTCAGTCTGTGGACATAAGAACACCAAATACCAATTCCCCACCTACCTGGTAGGCATTCTGCTTTTCTAACTGTAGTTTAAGAACAAAGTGAAGCATAATTCCCTTTATCATCGGGAATTCTCACTAATACATACAGAAAGCAAAACAGGAACACATGGTCCTATGCTCCTATTTGTATGTAACACAAGCTATTATTACCTCTCCCGGGACAACCCTCCACAAGCCTCAGTGAAGATAGCATCCCAACTTGGAGTCAATTTAGTGAAGAGAGAGACGAATTTGATTTACAAAATTTGGAAAACATTACTAATTTCATCTTGCATTCCAGCAAGCCAAAGGCAAGAAGAGAATTTCATGAAGGCTGAGCCCTCTCTGGTTTGTACCATTGCTTACCACACCTTCCTATTTCCATGTCTTCCCATCAGAAGAGCCCATGTCACTCATAGACAGTGATACACGGCCTGTGCAGGAGAAGGATCGCAAGTAGGATGTGGACTCTCATCAGAGGCATTTATCTGTAAGAAACAATTTTGTCTAGCACGTGAACTGCATGGTGTCCATCTGTGCCAGGACTGGGATGAGGTCTATGAGATGCATGAAGCCAACAGGCCAATAGTAGGTGGCGTCAATGGAAATCATAGCTACTTGTAGGTCCACTGTACATGAAACATGTATAGAAAATAGAAGCTGGACACTATAGAGAGTACATAAATGCAGTCAGAAGGCTTTTTATCATGTACTGGTTACAAATCTGTAAATATTAATGTGATTGTTGGTACCAGTAATTTATTTTGTAATAAACCCTGCCAACAGGGATAAGATAAAAGAGGGAGTACATATTACGTACATAAAATTCTAGTGCCAATGCCAATGTGTGTATGTACCACTAAGCAATTCTTGGACACTAGCTGGGTGTCCAACAATTCAGCTCCATTCTGACACTATCTATCAGGAGATAGCACCAAATTCCACAGTTTAAGAACTCAGTCTTACAAAAACATGTTCCCCAAATCCTAAGTCCAGGCCTGTCACCTGGACTTCTGACCTACCTCCTAAAGATCAGAGATTACGACCCACAACCTATAGACTGGAGGTTCCAATGATCTCCTCCTTGGGTTTGGTTAATATGCTATAGTGGCTCACAGAACTCAGAGAAACATTTTACTTATTGGATTACCAGTCTATGATGAAAAGATGTAACTCAGAAAGAGTCAGATGGAAAAGATGCATAGGGCAAGGTGAGAGGAAAGGGTCGCAGAACTTTTGTGGCCTCTGAGTGTGCCACTCTCCCCAAATCTCCATGTGTTCACCAACCCAGAAGCATTCAGAACCCAATCCTTTTTGGTATTTATGGAGGCTTCATTACAATGCATGACTGATCAAATCATTGACCACTGGGGACTGAACTCCATCTCCCAACCCTCTTCCTTCCCTGGAGGTCAGATGTAGGGCTGAAATTTCCAACCCTCACATCTCATGGCCGGCTCCTTAGACAACCAGCCCCCATCTCTGGGTGAGGGTCCCAAAGTAACCTCATTAACAGAGAAAAGACACCATCTTTTTGCTGTCATCTCTTAGGAAATTCCAAGGGTTTTAGAACTCTGAACAAAGACCAAATAGGTATTTCTCACTATAGATCACAGTATTACAGTAAAGAATTTCTATTTCTCCAGAAAGTTTATGATGAATATGCAAGTTGTGTAGGTGTCAGCCCACATTTTCCATCTACCAGAGGGACTTTTAAAATATCACTCACCAGACAAAGACCAGAGACATAAACCTGCTGCAGCATAGGAGAGCCTACTACAAACTCAATGTTATTTTAAGAATGCTGTGCTCAAAGAATGTGATTTTACACAGGCAGCTCAGAAAGTACATTTGCATATTACTCAGTGAAGTGTGGCTTTTCATTTAGATCAAATGACTATTCTAAATTAATTTGCTCAGTTTTGATTCCAACTTTTCTTGTGTATGTACAAGAAGGTAAGTGATGGCTGTTAGTGTTAGCTTGCTTAGTGGAACGTCATGACAAGTGAAATTGAATGGTCTTCTATCAGTGTCCCACTGTATGATAAAAATGGAAATCTGTTAATTCCAATAACTGTCTAATTTTTCTTTTCATGTAATTTACTGCCTCAAAGTAAAGCTTCTGGAAATGTACTCTTAATGGTGAAATATCTGACATTATTGTGAGTTCTACTGTAATTCAGTTTAAAAGTTCAATATTGAATATATTCTTTGTTTTTAAAGTGACAACATGAATATATATTTTGGTGGAATATAACATTATGGCTGTAAACAACGTCCTTACTAAATTTAGGAACTTGTGGAACATGCTTGAAGTAATTGTGGTATGCATGTTACTCATAGTTGTGTCAAACAAGCTGCGATATTCCACCCATCAAAGCAGAGCCGTGGTTGCCAAAATTTACAAATATTTTTACATAGAGTAACTGAACAATAAAGTTGTGACAAAACCGATGTTGGATAAAAAAAAAAAATCTCTCTTCGCTGCCCATCATCAATCATACTTTTAGGAAAGTTTCAGCCTTAAAAAAACCACTTTGTAAATTGTCTACAAAAGGTGCTAAACTAGGCCAAAATACACAACCACTGGCATGATGATCGTTTTGAACTGAAAGCAACTTGGAAGAAGGAGATATAAGAAAAGCTCCTTACCATCCCCCTATTTGCCTAAAAGCAAGACATAAACGCATGAGGGATCCCCTCCTCTGCCAGCCACCACCATCGGGAAGGACAGAAGTTAATCACTGGACCCTTATCAGCCCACAGACAGCACAGAAGCATCTATAGGACAAGTTCCAGGAACCAGCTGTTATCTTCCATTAGTTCCCCATATATTTACCTTCCAACAATTTGCTGCTATAGAATTTCAAATTCCCTTTCCTTCGCCTTGTCTCTACAAATTTATTGGGTTTTCTTTGTTGTTGCTGCTGTTGTTTTGAAGATGCTAGATGAGCCCAAGGTCTACCTACCCCTTTAGTTACTCATCTTTGGATACCCCCATGAATATGTGTGACGCACCTTTTTTTTAACGAGAGAAGGGGAAAGTAACATTTATTGTACACTAAATATGAGCCAAGTACCCTCCACACACACATTATTTCATTACATACTCATAACAACTGCAAATTAGGTATTATTGAACATAATTAAATATAAGGTGATAACCCCCCAATAATTATCTATCAGAAAAGATGGGGGTACTTACACATGAAGTTTTACCAAGTTCCTGACAACGTGGAGATAACACGTCCTCCACAAAACATTGTCACTTTGATGCCAGCTCCATCAGTGCCACTTTCGAATACTTATAAAGGTTAGATACTAGAATTAATTTTTTTTTATTTATTTATTTTTTAATTTTTTTTTTAACGTTTATTTATTTTTTTGGGGGACAGAGAGAGACAGAGCATGAACAGGGGAGGGGCAGACAGAGAGGGAGACACAGAATCGGAAACAGGCTCCAGGCTCTGAGCCATCCGCCCAGAGCCTGATGCGGGGCTCGAACTCACGGACCGCGAGATCGTGACCTGGCTGAAGTCGGCCGCTTAACTGACTGCGCCACCCAGGCGCCCCAAGAATTAATTTTTAAAAGACACAAATTCACTTAACATATATTTAATAATTATGTACAACTTCAAATATTAGATATTGTCAACAAACTCTGAGTGAGTGTATTTTGTCTTTTAATTTACATCCAAATTAGTTAGCATATAGTGCAACAATCATTTCAGGAGTAGATTCCTTAGTGCCCCTTACCCATTTAGCCCATCCCCCCACCCACAACCCTTCCAGTAACCCTGTTTGTTCTCCGTATTTATGAGTCTCTTCTGTTTTGTCCCCCTCCCTGTTTTTCTATTATTTTTGTTTCCCTTCCCTATGTTCATCTGTTTTCTCTCTTAAAGTCTTCGTATGAGTGAAGTCATATGAGTTTGGTCTTTCTCTGACTAATTCCACTTAGCATAAGTTCCATCCACGTAGTTGCAAATGGCAAGATTTCATTCTTTTTGATATACTCCATTGTATGTGTGTGTATGTATATATATATATATTATATATATATATACATACACACACCACATCTTCTTTATCCATTCATCCATCAATGGACATCTGGGGTCTTTCTATACTTTGGCTATTGTTGATAGTGCTGCTATAAACATGGGGGTGCATGTGTCCCTTCGAAACAGCACACCTGTATCCCTTGGATAAATGCCTAGTAGTGCAATTGCTGGGTCGTAGGGTAGTTCTATTTTCAGTTTTTTGAGGAACCTCCATTCTGTTTTCCAGAGTGGCTGCACCAGTTTGCATCCCCACCAGCAGTGCAAAAGAGATCCTTTTTCTCCGCACATGTGATGCACATCTTAACCAGCTTCTGTTTTTCCCTTATTATTCTGTCTTGTGTCAGTACCCCAGGTGGAGAAGCTAGAGGGTAGAGGGAAAATATTTTTTTTCCTCTTCTACACTAATATTAACCACTTTACAAGAGTCTTCTAAATTTGTTTGCATTTTGTTTAAAATCAGTTTGCAATCTTTAATCATAGCATTTCATTAAATGGAGTGCCCCAAATTTTCCACCGTTTGAAGTTTGAAGTAAATATAAATCACTAAAAAAACGTCTGTGAGAAGACATTTAAATTAATCTGTATAAAAGTAAAGGAGAAATGATATACGAGGTTTCCATTCTGGAATCTATAATTGATCTCTTGGGATATTTCAATTTGTGGGAAGAATCTTCTCATACAACTCCTATTTTTAATCAGATAAATTTATATTTCTATCATAAAGAAGTAAAACTGAGAAAAACTTCTGACTTTGCTGCATCTAAATGTGGTGGGTGGGGCTTTCAAAGTATGTGTAAATAAAAATAACTAAATTGACAAGTTCTGTTTTATAAAAATATTTGTCAAAGAGAGGTTCTCTGAGTGAAGCAAAACACAATACTTGGGATAATATCCTGCCAGTAATATTTATTCATTTTTTAAAAAATATTAGAATTGAGAACCATCTCTATCAAAATCTCTGAGATTACAACTAGTAGAGGGAGATTTTCTCAAAAACATTATGATTTACAGAGAAACATCATTTGGAGTTGTTAACAATTTCAAACGCTTTAGTTGTACCACAACTTTGAAGATTGCAGGAAACTGTATTTCTAAATTTTTAAAAAAGAAAATAACACAAAAATACATTTTGAACTAAATACTGAATACACTGTCAGAGACAGACAGTATAGCTAATAAACATATTAAAGTGCATAAATAAGTGCCAATAATAAATACTCTGTATGTTGATATAATCCATATAAAGAGGTTCACATTTTTGCTTTAGTATATAATATATATGTTTATATATTTTCATATTTAAATATTATATATTTATATACTTTGCTTTACTATACATAAAATATATAATATTTAAAATTATGCATATTGGGGTGCCTGGGTGGCTCACAGTTAAGCATCTGACTTCAGCTCAGGTCATGATCTCATGGTTTGTGGGTTCAAGTCCCACATCGGGCTCTTTGCTTACAGCTCAGAGCCTGGAACCTGCTTCAGAGTCTCTGTCTCCCTCTCTCTTTGTCCCTCCCCCATCATGCTCTCTTTCAAAAATAAACATAAAAAATAAAAAATATATTATATGTTATTTATATACACATACAATATTTAGAATGAATCTTATTTTTTAAAACATTTTTGAGTAAAATATTTTTACAGGTTTAGCAACAGACTAAAACTTATCTACCATCCAGTAAAATACTGTTTCAAGATACTATATAATTTCAATTATTTTTAATGCCCTCTCTCACTCTCAAACATATTCTGTTGCTCCCCCTTGCCACACATGTCCCTTGCTATGTCCAGCAAATATTAAGACTGTCTCCCTCCTCAGAGTTCCTGCTCTGACCAATTAACTTTTACCTAGTCCAGGGAAGAGCCAATAAAATACTCTAAGAATAATAATGAATGCAGGAGTCAGGGAAGGTATCAGCCATCATCATAAAGGCACAACTAATGGAGGAAAAGGGAAGAAAGAAAAATCATAGACAAAGAAAGGGAAGAATTTAGATGCTGGAGTTTAGTGTCCAGCTTTTCCCCTCAACATGATGTTCATAGCTACATATAGTTTAACTCATTCTTTTCATCACTGTATGGTATTTTATGTTCACACCACAAGCTGTCGTTGATGGACAGTTGGTTTATTTTAAGCTTTCAGCTATCATAAATGATGCTGCTATGAATGTTCCTTGCATGTGTTTCTGATGAACATATGCATGTATTTATGAGTGGCCTACACCTACAGGTAGAATTACTGGGTCATATGATACATACACATTCATCTTCAGGAGGTACTGTCAATCAGTCTTCTAGAATGGCTACATCAGCTTTCATGTCCGTAGTAGCATATGGGAGATGCAGCTCTTCATATCCTTACCAAAACATGGGGGGGGGGGTCATCAGTCTTTTAGATTTTAGATACAGTAAAACCTGGGATTGTGAGTAACTTGTTCTGTGAGTGTTCTGCAAGACGAACAAACATTTCTGATAAATTTTAACTTGATAAATGAGCGATATTTTGCGTACGAGTAGTACGTAACACTGAACATCATATGATCACGACTGAGCCAATGTTCTTGAAATTTGCCTTGATATACAAGTGCTTTGGATTACAAGCATATTTCTGGAACAAATTATGCTCACAAACCAAGGTTTTACTGTATTCTGTTGGGAATATGCTAGTAACACATGGTCACTTTAATTTCCATTTCCTGCTTTCAAATGTTTACTAATCTTCGGATAATCTCATTTTGTGTCTATTATTTTGCCCATTTTTCTATCGTGTTGTCTTTCTTATTGATGTGTAGAAGTCCTTTATGCATTGAGTCCTTGATCACTTATATGTGTTGCAAAATCGCCCACTCTGCGGCTTGTCAGGTCACTCCCTTAATGTGTTTTAAGTTCCAAATTTCAATGTAGATGAATTTATCAATATTTCCTCTTATAATTGATTTTTTTTCATCCTGTATAATAAATCTTCCTCTACATTAGAGTCATAAAGTGATTGCACTATTTTATATTCTAGAAGCCTTATTGTTTCAATGTTTATATTTAGATATCCAATTCTACTCGATATTAATTGTTAATGTATGGTGTGAGATAAGAAGTCAAGGTTCACTTTTATTTTATTATTTTATTTTTTTAATGTTTATTTACTTTTGAAGGAGAGAGACAGAGTGTCAGTGGGGGAGGGGCAGAGAGAGAGGGAGACACAGAATCCGAAGCAGGCTCCAGGCTCTGAGCCGCCAGCACAGAGCCTGACGCGGGGCTCGAACCCACAAATCGCGAGATCATGACCTGAGCCAAAGTCGGACGCTCAACCGACTGAGCCACCCAGGCACCCCAAGGTTCACTTTTAAACCTGAACACTGAACCACTTCACCCAGCACTATTTATTTAACAAACTGTCTCTTCCCCCAGCTGTAATGCCAATTTTTAAAGATTTTTTTTAAGTTTATTTCTTTATTTTGGGAGACAGGGAGAAGGAGAGAGCACATGCAAGTAGGGGAGGGACGGAGAGAAAGAATCCCAAGCAGACTGCCCTATCAGCACAGAGCCCAATGTGTGGCTCGAACCCACAAACCAGGAGATCATGACCTGAGTTGAAGTCAAGACTTAGACACTTAACTGACTGAACCACCCAGGTACCACTGTAATGCCACTTGATTACAATCAAGTGACCATATCTAGACAGAAGTCTGAATCTAGGTACATAGCCTAATAAAATAATTTTATAGCTGGAAAAATGTAACTTTCCTAAGACAGACTGAAAACAGGCAAAAGACTTCCTCAGGTAGGAATACACAAGCGACAGCAATCGGATGATGAAAGGGAGCACATACTGTCAAGGGGAACAATGATTAAGACTGGCTGGGAGGGGCGCCTGGACGGCTCAGTTGGTTAAGTGCCCGACTTTAGCTAGGGTCATGATCTCATGGTCTGGGAGTTTGAGCCCGACATGGGGCTCAGAGCCTGGAGTCTGCTTCAGATTCTTGTCTCCCTCTCCCTCTCTGTCTCTCAAAAATAAACAAACATTAAAAAAGTTGTTTTTAAGAAACAGCCTGGCTGAGAAGTACCAGAACCTGTCACCCAGTGCGTGTTCTTCCCTGGCCATCTCTCCTTGAGGACCTCAGGTGAGATCTTCTCACTCCATGCCTAGTGAGGCGGGCACCACTGCCTCCTCAGCCCCCCATCACTGCTGCCCCTGGAGCCTCCCCAGATGTTTGTCCCAGGGAGCTGCTCTACATTGACTAGCTCACTAGCCCTCGGGCCCTGAACATAGCCTCTCCTGTTAAGCATCAGGGACCCACACGATGCCTTCTCTGGATGGAAGTAACTACTCTCATAGAAGCCCCAGACTAGAGTTATCCCCCAGGCCACTCATTTGCCTGCTCATTAGGTGATGTCACTAATCCCAAATAAACCACCAGCCACCATTCTACAGCCACTCCTTCAACATTAAACTTCTATTTGAAATCACCTCTCCTCAGCCCATCCCTATCTTCTAGCTACAATCTCGTTTCCCACAATTAATGATTTTTTTTTTTGAGGCAATGCAGATATTCCTGAGGCCACACAGTATGGAAGCTAAGGGTAGGGGTTTTGTTGTATTAAGGTGGAACAAATATTGACCCACCTCTCTCTGCATTTCAAGCGCATTGTGACCTTTGGCAAGTAAGATAACCTCTCTGTACGTTATTTTTACCATTTGTAAAATGGGTATAACATTCATCTCTGAGAGGCCAAGTGAAGACCAACATACATGCAAAACATCTAACAAATGTCAACCGAATAGCAATAGAAACTGTTACCCACCGTTGAGCCTCGTGGAATATATATTTATGTCAGATTGTCCTGGCATACAAATGGGTCTGGCCGGAGCGTATATGAAAATAGGCCTGCACAGTCAGAAAACATCACAAAGTACACTTTCACTTGGCTTGGGAGGAGGAATCAGATACTGGAGACTGACAGTGGCATAGCGGGCCTCAGAGTTTGGCTTTGGAATTAAGGTCCGGTCACTTCTAGGGTAAGCTGTAGGCAGGAGTCACAGCAGTCATGTCAGCAGCCAGCTGACTAAGAGTAAAAAATAATAAAATAAAATAAAATAAAATAAAATAAAATAAAATAAAATAAAATAAAATAGGGAGTCGGCAAATTAATGTGTACCCTGCTGAAATTCACACAGATCACTCTATTATTTTTAATGCTCTCTGAGCCAAGTTCAAAGAATCACTGGAAAGACTTGGCTTAAGAAGAGAAGTTTGGGTCCCCGTTTCATAGGAATGACACCCCGAGAAAGCACTCAGGTACTATTACCTTCTGCCCTGCCTGAACCAGCCCTTTTCCACCCCACCGCTCACTGCCAGCCTATACAGCGGTCATCCGTTCCCTCTGCATCCCATCAAAAACACACTTTATCTCAGCTTGAAGCACCTACAACAGTTACTTGAGACGTAGATGAGCTCGCTAAATATCTCTTGAGCAAACAGATCGACTTTTAAGGTCTAACGATAGAGGAAATGCTCAAGATGGCAGACACCTGCAGGAAATTGCTTTGCCTGTGAGAGCACTGGGGGAGGATACCGGTACCCGGGCGCGTGCTTCCTCCCGTTAACGTGTGCACGTGATGGTGGAAGGGCTATCACAGGAGGACGCTAAGTAGACCTGAGTGTTGTGGAAATCTACACCTTGAGCTAGAAACCCTTGAGATTTCTTTTCTGGCGCACTGCCCATAAGGAGTCGGGGCCATGCTTTCTTCGGTGTAGAATTTTCCAAGTTAACAAGAAACCGAATACAAAGCATCCTAACCCTTACTTCAATAAATAACTTGGTTTGCACTCCGGGTTACTGAGATGGTTGCTTATTTGGTT